AGGCTGCAAAGGATTTGGGAGAAGGTTCCTGGTTCAATGCTGCAAAGGGAGAATATTCACATGATAGAGTTTTGTAAGTTACATTGGATATGGGTTCATAAGAGCTTTTCCTTTGGATATGAATCATCACTGTTCAGGAGTTGGGCCCCTTGTATTTTGCTCTTAGTAGGAAATTCAGATAAATGCTCAAAATGGAACGGTATCGAAGAGGAAGTTTTTCATCCTGTTCTCTGGAGAAAGCATAAGAAGTTTTGCAGATTCTGATGAAAAAGAACAGACTAGTATCTAGAGGCCCCAACAGAGCTAGATGAAGTTCCGATTTGCTAGACTCCATACAAACACATAGCAAGAGACAGTCCCTGTTCTGAAGAGCTAGCAATTTAAAGAGACGAGACAGACAATGGGTGGGAGCAGAAAAAGAGGCAGAGAGGTGATATGATTTGCACAGGAACATATAACCCATAAATGGCAGAGCCAGGCATAGTATGGATTTATAAAACCTGTGCATTTCTAATCCTATTATACAGATCTGAAACATGGACATTGCTCAAACAAGACATCAGGAGGCTGAAGGCATTTTGTATGCAATGCCAGCAGAGACTAATGGGCATAGATGGTTTGATATTATCAGTAATTGGGATGTATTATTGAGAACTGACCTTGAGTGGATTGAAGTCAGTATCAATCACTGCTGGTTAGCACTTTCAGGTCATACAGTCCCTTCAGAGCTTAATGTGCAGATAAGACTTGAGGTGAGGAGGAGATATTGCCTGGCAATAGACTGGCAATAGCTACATGCACGTTCATGATTAACCTGGCTGCATGACATCAGTAATAATCCTCGGGCGATTTTAGATGTCTGCATTAAAGCCCTGCAATGTGACCATGGACCTTCCACACTTGGGACTCTCGCTGCCCAAGTGCATTATTGTTGCTGATGCCATTCATAGACATGTAGTTCCAATAGCATTAAAATGGGGGCACCTTCCTTGGAGGAAATAATATAAAAATGCTCAGTATGGGTACGTCTAGACTACAGGGTTTTGTCGACAGAAGTTTTGTCAACAGATACTGTTGACAAAGCTTCTGTCGACAAAGAGCGTCTAGACTGCATCCAGTTCTGTCGACAAAGCAAGCCGCTTTGTCGACATAACAGTGTGGGTGCAAAGGACAGTGTAGATGCAATAATACCTTCAATCAACAGAACTCTGTTGACAAAAGGCGTTATTCCTCGTAGAATGAGGTTTACATACGTCGACAAAACGGCTGAGTTTTGTCGACATTATGTCGACATAACTCAAAGGCAGTGTGGACGCAGGTATAGTTTTGTCGACAAAAGTCCACTTTTGTCGACAAAACCCTGTAGTCTAGACACACCCAATGAGTTGAGACAGGATGTGTAGGCTCTGGAGTGGGAATGAGGGATTTGGGTGTGGGAAGAGGTGAGAGGTGCAAGCTCTGGGAAGAAATTTGGATGCTGGAGGAGGTGGAGAAGGGGACCCTGGCTCAGGGAGGGGGCTCCAGGCTGGGGAGTGTTGGGGTACTAAGTAAGCCACAGGCTTGTGTAAGTGAGGGTGCAGGAATTTGGGTTGGGGTATGTGAGGGGCTCAGGGAAGAGGGATCCAATGTATGACAGGCTCAGATCTAGGATCTGGGGGGTGCAGGAGTGTTATAATGCTATGGCCAGATGGGGGCTTGGTCCCAATTGGGGGTTTGTTGGCCAGGTTTCATTTTTAAATAAGACCGTCAAACACAAAAAGATTCTGCATTGTCTTTATTTATGAGAAGGGCAGGGAATCTGTTTTGAGTCAGGGGTCACTGACCCACAGAAAAGTCAGTTGGGGCCATACAAAGGAGATGCCCCCCCCCAAGCCTCACTAATGTGGCCCCAACTGTGCTGGTGGGGGCAGGGAACATGGTACTGGGGAAGGGTGCTAGTGGGTGCTGGGGCAGGGAAACAAGGTGTCAGTGGGGGCAGGAGACAGGATTCTGGGGTGAGGACAGGGTGCCGGTGGTGGAGAGGGGATAGGGTGCCGGGGGGGGGAAGGGTTCTGCAGCAGGGGACAGGTGCCAGTGGGAGCAGGGAGTCTCCTATACCCACCTCCTCCCAGGACTCCTCTCCTCCGCCCCCTTGGTGGAGCAGGGAAGCCCCAGCACGTGCCTCCTCTGGGGCCAATTCCCCGCACCTGCGCAGCAGGAAAGCACTGGTGTGCACTTCCTCTCGTGCCAACTCCCCCCTCCCGCAGAGAAGAGTGCACCTGGGCTGAACACCATGGTGAGCTGGCCGGGCAGCCCAGCCCAGCTGCCCTGAGCTCATCCTGGGGAGGCTGCGCCATGCTCCTGCTGATCGGGAAGCCCTTCCTCTTTGCTCCAGCCCAGCTGAAGCGAGGCACAGCCTCCTCGGGCTGAGCTCAGGGAAGCTGGGCTGGAGCAAAGAGGAGCGGCTGCCCAGCCTGCTGGCCATGGCGCTCAGCCAGGGTGCACCATGCTCCACATTGGCGGGTGCAGAGGGGAAGCTGCCTGGCAGGTAGCTATGGAGTTCAGCAGATGCAGAGACTGCGCTGTGCTGGAGCAGAGGGAAAGTCACCCGATCAGCTGGAGTGCAGCGCAGCCTCCTCTGGCTGAACGCCACAGCCAGCTGGCCAGCGTATTTCAGCCCTCCCAACCCACCACACCGCCACGGCTACTCACCTGCGTTGCTGCTCCACAAATCAAGAGTGCCAATATAAAATTAGTGTGCAGGTGTGCAGTTCAGAGGGAGATGAAGATTGACTCAGAGCCCCTGTGATTGACCAGTAGATCGCGATCTACCCATTGGTGACAGGTTGTAGAGCCTAAATATGGCTTTTGAATTTGTGAAATATGAATCAGCTAGTACAATTCACTCATCGCTAAACTCCCAACTCACAGAATGAAAAAAAGCATATTCACTGTCCACTTTTAAAGCCCAATTCAAAATGTCTTATATACACATACACCGCGCTAAAAGACCTAATGCAAGTCTGCATCCATATGTGCAAACACATGTAATTCTTCAGTCATCTGGGGAAAAAACTGAAACCCAAATGACTAAATGAACTTAAATACAATACCTACTGATTACTAAGCTCTCTTATGTCAGATGCTTTGAAGCCCCACTTCTTCGCTAATTGCTCTTGTTGATCTGCTTTTTCCAAAAACACAATCTAAGGAGAAAAACAAAATAGTTAATTGTTAAATTTTACACACACACACACACACACACACACACACACACACACACACACACACACACCGTTTAACATCATACGATGACTAAATAGCAATTTTACAATGCCTGATTTTGTTCAACGCAAACTTCTTTACTGCAGAAATGGGCTTGTATTAAAACATCTGATCCACCTGATTTCCGAGGCCTGACTTTGAAATGACAACTCTGGGTTCACTAAGCAAACCAACCCATCCTCCATCTGTAATTTCTTACGATAAATTAATGCAGGCACTATATACACTCAGGAACAAGTTTATCACTGTGTCATTTGCATAGGAGCAGATCCACCCTCACACTTCATAACAGCTGGTGTACAGCAACTCTGCTACCAGTACTGGCTTGCTCAGGACAGTTCTATGGATCCATTTTACCCCCTATGCTGTTTAGTCTTTATATCAGTGACTTTGGATTCACATCATTCTGTAAATTCATTGATGCAGATGAGAGAGTGCTAGTAATGCAAGCACCCTCTAAAAGCCTCTAAAAGAGGTTGTGAAAAACTATCTCCAGACCAGGCGTGGGCACTAATTTTTGATGGGAGGCCACTCCAAGATTTTGGAAAGTTGTTGAGGATTGCCCTCTTCCATGATATTAATGGAGGAGATGCAGAGTCTGGGATGGAGGCTGAGTGCAGAAGAGAATTTAGGGACTGGAGTGCAGGAGAGCCTGTGAGGTCTGGGAGGGAGTTTGGGTTAAGGAGGCAGGTGTGACCTGGGGCACAGGACTGCGGTACAGGAGTCTGGATTGTGACCTAGGGCAGGAGATGGTTGTGACCTGGAACAGGGGACTGCGGTACAGGGTTTTGGGCAGAAGGGGAATGTAATCTGGGGTAGGGGATTGGGGTGCAAGGTCTGGGATGGAGTATGGGTTCAGGAAGGGGCAGATGATTTGGGTTATGTGGGATGGGGAGCAGTGGGTTGGGGGAAGGGAAGGGCTGGGGTGCCAGAAGGAGGCTGTAGCCAGAAGACTTACCTGGGCACCTCCTGGCCAGCAGCCCAGCATACGTCTCAGGCAGCCACCCTGCCTGCCTCTACGTAGGCTGTAGCAAGCATGTGCCAGCTCCCACTGGCTAGAAGTGGCCAATGGGATTGTGCTGGGGTTGGGGGCAGTGCCCAAAACCTCTCTTTCCCCCAGCTCACAGCTGAGAAACACAAACAGCTAGTAGCCACTTTTCTGAGCAGCATGCGAGGGGCAAGCAAGGAGTCTGCTGAAGGTTTCTGGTGGCTTGGCAGGCCGAATTTGGCCTGCAAACTGCATTTTCCCTAGCCCTGCTCCAGACCGCTGAGCCCTAACACTTGTACATGAACAACCATGAGGCCAAAGTGCTATTTAAAGTGCACTTTTGTGGTCTGCCTTTATTGCATGACCATAATCCATGGTACTTTGGAGTTATTCTTAATCTGACACTGAGCTATTGCCAATACCTTCACAAAACAAGGGTTAACATCCTTCAGAAGCTTGCAGGGATGTAATGCATGCACACATCAAATGGCAGTATGTGTCCTTGTTTTATCACCAGTGGAGTATTGCATAAACTTTTGGTGTAAGGGCTCCCTCACCATTCTTAGTGACACTGAAATCAAGGCCAAGCTCAGGATTGTTAGCCTTTCTCAAATCAACACCAATACTATGTCTCCCAGTTTTGGCAGGCACTGTGCCAGCCAACATCAGGCAAGATGCTGCTGCTGTGATCCAGGAGTACAAGAAGATTCTGGCTGCTTTGGATCTGCTGATACACCAAGATCTCAATTCACTTCCACTCTGCATATCCAAATTCAAGAAGCCTTTCTGGATACATGCATCAACACTCCAGGCCAACCAAAAGGACATCAGCACTCACTGACCTGAACTGTGAGCCACTGGTGATGTTACAAAGACTTAGCTGAAGTTCCAAAACCAGAAGTTGCAGGATTCTGCCTTCCCTTTAGGAAGGGGCCAGCATCCAAATGCACTCTGACAGTGCACAAAAAGTATAGATATTTTCTCTACAAATGCAAAATCTAAGAACCACCAAATTCTGACTGTGATGAGGTACAAAGCCTACAACCCATCACAGACAAACGCCTCATTCACACAGTGGTGTACCAGGGGAATCCACCTAGCTACCCTAGAAGCATCAGAATGGCTTTCAAATCTTAAAATTCAATTACTGTATAATCCAATCCATTGTTTTTCAAATGCCATATGAAAGAAACAGCAGCTCTATTGTGGCCTTACTGGAACAAACACTTGCAATATCCAGCAACATAAGTGTCAGAAGAATTGCCTAGAATAAATATAAAGGAATAAGCTATACTTTTGTAAGCAACTTTATACTGGCATAATTGCATCCACATTGGTGGGCCTGAAACATTAACTATTCCTGTTCCTAAATAAGGATGTTAAAATGTGGTTAATTGACTAATCAATGGAATTTCCATCGCCTAGTTGATAGGCACTTCTGTATTCCTCCTTTGAAATGTACAAGAGCCCCTGTGGGGACTCTTGTATATTTCAAAGGAGAAATGTGGAAATCCGAGTACAGCCTGGGGCTATCGGGAAGTCTCGCTGACTCCGGCCTGCATGAGACGTGCCGCTTTGAAACGCACAAGAGTCCCCAGCAGAGTCAGCTGAGGACTCGCCCGCTGACCCCAGGTTCCATGCTATGCTGTATGCCATTAGGAGCCTGGGGTCAGCGGGTTAGTCCTCAGCTGACCCCGGGCTCCACAGCAGCTGCCCTTTGAATCACTGTCTCCGTGCGTTTCCAAGGGGCAGTGGAGCCCAGGGTCAGCTGGTGAATCTCCAACTGATCCCAAGCTCCCCTCGGCATTTCCCTGAAACCCAGGATCAGCTGGGGACTTCCCAGCTGACCCCAGGTTCTGGGGAAGTGCCACGCAGAGCCCGGGATCACCTGGGGAGTCCCCAGCTGATCCTGGGCTCCACTGCCCCTTTGAAAAACGCAGAGGTGGCGATTCAAAGGGGCAGCCACCTCACATCTGATCCTCAGATCAGCTGTGAGGCGGCTCCCCCTTTAAAACGCCACCTTGGGGTTTCAAAGTGGCAGCGCCACACAGATGTGCAGCACTGCCACTTTGAAGTACCCCTTCCCTCCCCCCACTTTGCTGCCTCTAATAGAGGCAGCAGGGGGGGGGGACAGCATCCAAATGCACTCTGACAGTGCACAAAAAGTATAGATATTTTCTCTACAAATGCAAAATCTAAGAACCACCAAATTATGACTGTGATGAGGTACAAAGCCTACAACCCATCACAGACAAACGCCTCATTCACACAGTGGTGTACCAGGGGAATCCACCTAGCTACCCTAGAAGCATCAGAATGGCTTTCAAATCTTAAAATTCAATTACTGTATAATCCAATCCATTGTTTTTCAAATGCCATATGAAAGAAACAGCAGCTCTATTGTGGCCTTACTGGAACAAACACTTGCAATATCCAGCAACATAAGTGTCAGAAGAATTGCCTAGAATAAATATAAAGGAATAAGCTATACTTTTGTAAGCAACTTTATACTGGCATAATTGCATCCACATTGGTGGGCCTGAAACATTAACTATTCCTGTTCCTAAATAAGGATGTTAAAATGTGGTTAATTGACTAATCAATGGAATTTCCATCGCCTAGTTGATAGGCACTTCTGTATTCCTCCTTTGAAATGTACAAGAGCCCCTGTGGGGACTCTTGTATATTTCAAAGGAGAAATGTGGAAATCCGAGTACAGCCTGGGGCTATCGGGAAGTCTCGCTGACTCCGCCCTGCATGAGACGTGCCGCTTTGAAACGCACAAGAGTCCCCAGCAGAGTCAGCTGAGGACTCGCCCGCTGACCCCAGGTTCCATGCTATGCTGTATGCCATTAGGAGCCTGGGGTCAGCGGGTTAGTCCTCAGCTGACCCCGGGCTCCACAGCAGCTGCCCTTTGAATCACTGTCTCCGTGCGTTTCCAAGGGGCAGTGGAGCCCAGGGTCAGCTGGTGAATCTCCAACTGATCCCAAGCTCCCCTCGGCATTTCCCTGAAACCCAGGATCAGCTGGGGACTTCCCAGCTGACCCCAGGTTCTGGGGAAGTGCCACGCAGAGCCCGGGATCACCTGGGGAGTCCCCAGCTGATCCTGGGCTCCACTGCCCCTTTGAAAAACGCAGAGGTGGCGATTCAAAGGGGCAGCCACCTCACATCTGATCCTCAGATCAGCTGTGAGGCGGCTCCCCCTTTAAAACGCCACCTTGGGGTTTCAAAGTGGCCTAGTCAAAAGACTATCCAAGGGAGGTGGTGGAATCTCCCTCTCTGGAGATATTTAAGAACAGGTTAGATAGACATCTGTCAGGGATGGTGTAGACGGAGCTTGATCCTGCCTTGAGGGCGGGGGGCTGGACTCGATGACCTCTCGAGGTCCCTTCCAGTCCTATTATTCTATGATTCTATGATTCTACTGGCCATAGCCCAGGGGAACTAGAAAGGGGAAAACCTAAACCTATATAGTTACAGTGGTACACAAGTTATACATTGATCAGTCCTTAGAAAAGATTTAACACTGATGTAATAAAGATGGAGCAGGGAAAGGAAGGACTAGGACAACATTACAGCAAAAACCAACAAACCTCCCCCTCCCCCCATTGATTAACATGGACCAACTAGGTACCTGGATACATGGTGGTTATAAGTCAGTTTTATTTAATGAAAAAATATAAATAAGGATCTTCACGAAGAAAATAGAAAAATTTGTAAACAATCAGGAAGACTTAAACTGAAAGATTATTTTTAATAATGTCTGCACAATTTTCACTAAGATCCTGTGGAACCATAGGACTCTACAGCAAAATAAATATTTAACAATAATAAGAAAAGTGTAATAAAAATCACTGACACATCAGCTAAAGCAATGCCCTTCCCCCTTGATCTATTTGTTGATTTTAAAAGCATGTTTGGTGTGTTCAGTCAGTTCAATCAATTGCACTTC